GGGCGGTGGCGTGGGCGCCGCAGGCGCGGGCGCGGAAGCGGGCGCGGCGAGGGGGATGGACGGGACCATGACGGGGCCGGTGGGCGGGGAGGGGGCGACGGCCGACGGCAGGGTCAGCGACATGGCTTGGCGCAATTTCTCGGGGTGGATGTCGGTCATCGTTGGAACGGCAGGGCACGCAGTTGCGAACACGCGCGCCATCCCGCCGCGCCGCCCCAACATCGCTTGATAACTCCAATTTCCTTCTCTTATCGTTCCCGCGCCCCTTTTCCCCCACCCGTCTGTAAGATCCGCTGTAAGCTACACGTATACATACGTGTTTTACTGGTACACGCGTTACGCGTGGTACACGCGTTACGCGTGGGCACGTGCAGCACCTTCCGAGCTCCTTCTTTCCGTCTCACCCTTTTTCAACCTCAGCCTTTCTCCACCTCCGACAGCATGCGTCCTCTTTTCCCCGCCCTGCGTCCCATCATGGCCTTCATCGCATCCCCTCTCCTTCTCCGGCACGCCACCCGCCGCGCGCAAAGCCCGCGCCGCCCGCGTAGTTTGCGCCAGCCAGCAGTGCGGGCGGCGGCGCGCCCCGCCGCGAACCGCAAGGCGGCGCCGGCGACCCCCGAGACCACGCAGGCGGCGGTGTCCTACCTGCAGTCGCTGGGGCTGAGCCCGGAGGACAGCCGCCGCGTGGTGTCCCGGCACCCGCGCCTCGCCGCGCAGCGCGACCTGCCCTCCCTCGCCGCCCCCGCCCTCGCCTACCTGCGCGCCACGCTGCGGCTGGACGGCCGCCTGCTGGTCCGCACGGTGCGCAACGCCCCGCAAATCCTCTACCGCTCGCGCGACGCCTTCGAGACCCGCCTCCAGTTTCTGGACAACGTCGCCCGCATCGATGACGCCCAATTGCCATACGCGCTCGCCAAGTGCCCGCACGTGCTCTGGATGGACCTCAGGGCCGCGTCGGAGGTCGTCGCGGCCGTCGTCGAGGCGTGCCCGCTCATCACGCCCGCGTCGTTGGGCACCGTGTTCGGAAGGGTGCCGCAGGCCCTGGTTACGTCACCGTCAAGGATTCGTGCCAATATTGATAATATTCGCCACGCGGGGGTTACCGATTCGGCTTCAATGGCGAGGATCTTTGCCAAAGCCCCGCTAACACTTGTTTACGATGCTAAGAAAACTCTCGCTAAGCGCTTGCACTATCTCTCCCAGGAGCTTGGTTTCTCTGACAAGACCGTCGGGAAGATAGTTGTCTCGACCCCAGAAGTTCTTGAATGGAGTGTAGAGCATATGCTTAAGCCGCGTGTCGCACTCCTCGAAAGCTTAGTTGGGGAGGACGCCGTCACCTCCGTCATCGATAAGCTTCCCTCCCTTTTCGGCATCGAGGACATTCTCGACCGCGTCCTTTGGCTTCGCGATGACGTCGGCCTCGATGACGCACAAATCCGAGCCGTTGTTCGCGAAGCCCCGGCCATCTTGACCTATTCCGTCGTCGGCAATCTTACCCCAAAGTGGGCATTCGTGCACGAAACCATGGGTGCTTCGCTGGATGACCTCGTCGCCATACCGAGGGAGGTCTTGTGTGCGAATCTCCAACAACGAGCCATGCCGCGATATGCCTTTCTCGCTTCCAATGGCGTATCCGGATTGTCAGTCGTCGACATCTTGCGCGGCTCGGACACCGAGTTTTGTCGAAATGTTGCCAACTGTGATCCAGATACCTTTCGGGCGTACGTGGACAACGACACATACCTACTTTTCTTCTCCCAGTTGATTTGACTCAGTATGGATAAAACTCTTCTTCTAAGTTGACACATGTATACATAAGGAGGTCGCAACCTTCTAGATATCATCCGGAGGCCGATATTGTAATATGTGCGCTGTATTCTGCATAGTGCGAGTCAGAATCAGAGTCAGAGTCTTCCTCCAGTGGTTCAGTTTGCGGAACGCTATCCGTGACCGGTACCGGCATAACAGATACGAGGGGGAAGCTGTTAAAGGTGCCTTCCCACTCCCACTTGCTCTGAAGCAACATCGCTTGCAAAGTCATGATCACGGCGTCAGCACCGAGAGTCTTGTCCAAACTTTTCGGTTCCGGTCCGATGAAGTTGATAAACAACATGTCTCCAATATTAACTTCAGCGCTGGGTCCACCCATGAGTATGGAGTGGATTAGTACGACCGACAAATTACTGATGAAAAGAATGAGTGCAGTCCCTCCTTTTGAGTCCGCCGTCACGTACGGAAAGTTTAGCAGCTGCGCAAAGCATGGTCATCAGGTCACAGGCGGTTAGCATTCGGTTGTGTAGAAGATGCCAAGTTGACGAAAAGAATTGGGCAGTTTCGCTGGATAGCAACGAAAAAGACAACGTACTCGCATAAGCTGAAATGCTCGAATGATCAAGACTAAAATTTTGTGATCCAGGTAGTACATGTATATGACGTTGAGAATAAGGACAGTCGTAAGAGTCTGTTCAAAGTCTCCGCGTACCCTCGCAATGCGCTACACAGGTGAAAGACAGAACGCCACAGAATCAGTAAAGAACTCACAATGTTAGTCAAGGTGGAGCCGCCAGTGACCTTGGGAACGAGGACAAGAATTCGTCGGTGACACTCACCAATCTTGCCGTATGCGCGCGCAAAGATTCTGCGAGTCTCGCGCGTGGAGATGGACGCTGTTCATTTTCTTCGTTGGTGTTTGATTCGGGTGATTCGAGGTCAACCTCAGTGGAGTCTTGAGAAAGCAATTGAACAGCACCTTCCTCTTCTTCTGGAGACTCGTTCCTGTTTGTTGGGTTCGTCATTTTCTGCTGTGTTTCTTCTTCGGTTGCTCGTGTGTTCTTTGTGAACCGAGACCAACCCCACGCTTCCGTTGTCTCGTTATAAAGCGTTTTCAAGAGGGGGCCGGGGGGGGGGGGGGGGGACGCGGACTAATAATATCGCTAGAGTTTCACACGTGTACGATTTCATCTTTTGTATTTTTTTGTATTTTTTGCAGTGGTTTACAATTGCCAGGACGGAGCCAATAAGCTTCGCAAATAACATTCTTATTGCTCACGCATGATGTCAGACAAATTCTATAGGTTCTCAGGTCGTCAAGAGTGTTCACGTGTCGGTTCTTTGCCAAAATGTATGCAGTAAAGTTTAAAGTTATCCAGGTTAACGTTGCAGGACAACAGCGTACAACAAGGCGGACATGAGACGTGGCATGTTTCTTAAGGCGGGAAGAGGTTGAAAATTCAGAGTTTAGAGCGTCAATTTGAGCTTAATGCGTGTACTTGATGTCGACGCCAATAGAATTGCTACATAGTAGAGAGGGCGCGCACAGTGCTGTACAGTAGTAAGGTTCCATCATGCATTGCCCAGGTTGCTAGCCAAAGTGTAGGACCACTTCTGCACCATTCAGATTCTTTGAATCACTCATTCTTTTTTCAGTCGATAATGCATTCATCGCTGTTGCGCGGCGCATAGTTGAGGCCGGTCCAACAAAAGATGAATGCCAGCAAAGCCAGCAAGAACCAGACCTGCTCTCCTCGAATCAATTGGCATCTGCAACGTACTTATCACGTTCTTGAGTTCACCAACCGGTTCGTATCGAGACTTGCACCTGCACTCCAGCATTCCAAGACAATGACCTCGACTTTCAACAGCAAAAGCAACTCTTCTCACTCACATCCGTCGTTGAACCTGTCACAATACACTGTGATCCTGCGAGTACATCACGAAGGAGCGCTGACGTGCAGAACAACGCAAATATTCTACACAGAGCCGTTGCAGCTTCTGTGCAACTTTGGCAGTACAGGGTGTAGACACTTTCGCAGTTTCCAGAGGATAAAACCACCTCTTCAATACAGTGGATTTATTAATCATAGATGCGGCGAACGCCTCCAAGCAATTCTGTTGGGGTCTGTAGCTCAATTGGTAGAGTGCTCCCTTAGCACCACATCGTGAACATGGGAGAGGTACCGGGATCGAAGCCCGGCAGATCCAGGGGGCAATGGGTCAAAAGACTCGGCGTCGCCTTTCTTTTTTTCGTCTTTCGTCGTGCGATGCGTTGCAGGCCCAGTTAGCTTTGCTTGTGGACGCGTTCGCGAAGTCAGTGCTACTTCATCCAATTTTGAGGGCCTTGATAATTAAGTGTGGCTCGGTTTGCTGATAAAACAGCAGATTACAGTACCCTTAAGGGTACTGTAATCTGCTGTTAGAGCAACCCCACCGCGCACATCTATTTGATCAATAGAATTTCTGCTCACGATTTTCAACCCCACCGCGCAATTCTATCGCTTTCCGAAATCGAATAGAACCATTTCGGAATCTATCCGGGCGCCGATAGATCCCAAAAACGTTCTATCCGATGAATAGATTCCCCGATAGAATGACACGTGCCAAGCGTGTCAACCAAATTCCAGCCAAATGTGCCTCCTACTTGCGAGAGGGCGAGCCGAAACTCCTCGGCAGGCGTGTCGCGCGCTTCATTCAGGCATGCAAATCAGCCTTTCATGCCCTCTAGCAGCGTGGGAGAGGCACATCATCAACAACCACCTGTCACAGTATACTACGAATAGCGAAGCGCGCGAACTCGATCATGCCGTCCCAACCGAGAACCTATTGCGCCACGCTGTGTTACGTGGCTGGCTATTGTGCTGTTAGAGCATTTCATGTCAACTCAAGCATGAGTGCGGCATGCAAAAATTGCATGTGCGTCTGGAAGCGTTCTGCTTCCGAACTCCTCAAAACTTACGCGGCAGTTCTTAGGCACTCTACAGCGCACAGCCTCGTAGGACAGCCAAGTCAGACCGCACCTACTATAGTTTTCCATATTGCCCTGTCTTTCTTTCCCTACTTAAGACTCTCCTGACGATAAACATCAAAGAGAGCCATCTCATCTCTGCATTTTACTACAACGTGCAATAGTGATCACTAAGCTTATTTTTTCGTTTCACAGTCATGGCTCTCTCAACGGGCCCAACGGTGGGACAAAGCCTGTTTACCCCAGTTCCCCATCCTCAGCTGCGAAAGCTGGGACGCAAGCATATCCACGTGTTTCTGCGGGAAAAGGAAAACTACCTTCTGTGCATCGCCGACGCGCAAGCCACTGGCAGCACAATCCAACCGATATCTATCAAGGCTTATATTGATAGAGATTTGCTACCGTCTTTGGTGGAATTTGGTGAGTTTGCGGGAGTATCAATCGCCAGCGAACTCACCGACGACAACCTTCAGGAGTGGCTCAACGCCAATGAGAAGGTCAGTGTCGAGTCTTTGAGCCTTCAGGAGCTAGAAGCCGCTATCAAAAGCAATATCCGTATGGATATCAATGAACCAGATCCAGAGATGCGAATCAAAGGCTTGTTCGTGGACTTTAAGACGTTTTTGCGTAGCAAGAAGTGGGACCACCTGGTCGAATCAAATCCGAAACTAGTCATTTCACAAATGGTCACCCTTTTAAAACCGACGGCTTTGAAAAACAAGATCGAGGCGGACCTGGAGATTGGCAAGCATGATTTGCGAAAGAAGTGGTTGCCTTTTTATAAACACCGTATTGCCGAGGCGGTGGCCTGTGACAAATTTGTTTCGGTCAAGAATGCGCAAGATTCTAAGGTGCCCGACCAAGCGAGGCCGCCTTCGAGGGGTTTTGCGCAGAAAGGCGGGCGCAATGAGAAGGGAGCACGCTCGGGAAGAGATTCGGAAAGAGATTCGCCACGAAGTCCAAAAGGGAGCTCACTTGGAAGTTGGAAAGAAAGCCCAAGCAAAGGGAGAATCAGCAATACTGTAGGCACTAAATCATCTGACAAGGAGTTACCCTTCTGCTTGAATACAAAGAAGTGCAAGAAACGTCACTTGCTCAAGAACTGTACGGACACTACCGCAGAGGAAAGAGCAGATATATACCGCGAGTTTTACAAGGCGAAGCCGAAAGGAACCATCAATGCCTTGATGGAAACTGACTCAAGCACCCGACCCACTACGGTATCCAATACAGTACCGAGGATTGAGCTGGCAAAGAGCACCGGACGTCTCTCTGGGCATTTGTCAGACATAGTACCAGTGGTGGTGAATGGTGATTATGGTGCTGATCATTCAGCACTATGCGAGGGACACCTACAAGAATGCGCTAACGCCGGAGTATTCGTGCAGGTGCTTCCTCTCGGGACACCCATCACAATGGGGCTGGCACTCAGCGAGCGTGACGGGGAGTCAGAAATGGTGTTCAAAGCTACCAAAAAGGCTCGCATTTCGATCACTTTCGACACAAATGGTGGTCCACTGCGACTCCGCAATGTCGAATTCTTAGTCTTTTTAGAGAATATGCCAGAGGTCCTTCTCTCACGTCCCCTGCTTCGGTCTATGGGTTTTAATCTTGACAAACACCTGGCGGAGGTTCGCGACGAGTTCCACAACGCAGATTTCTCTCATGTCGAATTTTCGGGTGCTGTAGAGGAGGGCATTCCATCGTCTACAAACAACCCCTCGCGTCTCTCTCGAGTGCTACTGGACAGAAGCGGCCAGGAGGAGGAATCGGAAGAGTTCCATGACGAGGAATATGTCAATTCAGATTGTCTCTCGAACGCAGTATTGGAAAAAAATGATGCAAGCGGCATGATTGATCATGTGCCATCCGCTCTTTTCTATGGTGACGGATTAGATGATGACCCCTTACGAGTGGACGATGAACTGGATCCGGGAACGGATGATCCGTCGACTACGACGCAAGCTCTACATGACGGCGTAAAAGATGCCATTGCCAATGGTCTTCCAGCACACCTCCACAGCGAACTGAAGGCGATGCTGACGGAATACAAGGACATTTTCCGAACAAGCCTGGGGTCCGATCCTCCTGCCAGGGTACCGCCCATGCAAATTCACCTCAAAGAGGATGCCAAAGCCGTGCGTGTGAAAGTCAGACGATATTCGCCACCACAGGCAGCTTTTCTGAGGGCTAAAACGGACGAACTGCTACAATTAGGGTTGGTCAGGCGCAACAATCAGAGTCAATGGGCATGCGCACCCCTGCTTGTGCCAAAACTGGTCCGGAACAGTTCCGTTTCACGGTGGACCTTCGTCCAGTCAACAATCAAACAGTACCTTTCACGTGGCCGATGCCTCACTTCGAGACAGCAGCGTCAGAATTCGCTGGGGACAAGGTTTTCGCAACAATTGACCTTTGTCATGGGTATTGGCAGATTCCTCTCGATGAAACTGCGCAGGAATGCCAAAGCTTCATCACACCTGATGGTGTTTTCACCCCCACTCGGGTACTTCACGGACAGACAAACGCTACTTTTTACTTCCAGAGTACAGTAGCAGAGATCTGTCTATCGCTTCGAGACTGGATGCTACAGTGGCTCGATGACATTCTCATTCACTGTACAAACGAAGACGAACTTTTCTGCAAATTACGGAAATTTTTCTTAATCTGCCGTGAACATGGGATCAAGCTACATGCGCGCAAATGCCAGTTTTACGTAACTATTGTAAACTGGTGCGGCAGGGTCATTTCAGAAGCAGGTATCAGGATGGACCCCAAGCGTATGGAGTCTCTACTGCAGATGCCTGCTCCGAACACAGGTGATCAGCTGCAGCAGTTCCTTTGCGCTGTGAATTGGATGAGGATGTCAATTCCTCAGTATAACGAGTTGGTCTCCCTGCTATCAAAATTACTTGAGGAGGTGCTGTCTCTTGCTGGGTCTCGTACGAAAAAGGCCGCTGCCAAAGTAAAGCTCTCGGACACTTCATGGAACAGGAGCCACACACAGTGCTTTGAAGCAGTTAAGAAGGCCCTCGCAACTTCCCTTACTCTCGCGCACCCAGACCCAGCGAAAACTCTATGCCTCTTTACCGATGCCAGCGATGAACATTGGTCAGGCG